AGGCAGGGCCCAGCCCCGAGCGGGCCTCACACACCCAGCTTTCCTGCTAACGCCCGTCCCTGGTGCGGGGCACCGGCAGGCCCTGCCCGCCACTGACAGTCCCTGCCTTCCTCTCCCAGGATGAAGCCTGCTGGGAGCGTAAATGATGTGGCCCTGGATGCCTTCGACCTGGACCGGATGAAACAGGTGAGCCATCCTTTCTGGGAGTCCAGGATCAGCCAGCAGGCTGGGGGCCGTCTCTGGTCAGCACGGCCCAGTGGGCCTGATGGGCCACACGTGCTACCAAAAAGTCACTCAGGGCCAGCCAGTAAAGGGGTCCACACATGCCGTGGTCCCCACCCCTGCCATCGCCAGCACGAAGGCCTTCGCCTTTCTGGGCACTCGCTGCGCCGGTCTCTGGGGCCTCCTCCCTCTAGGCGGTCAGGCCTCCATTTTGCCGGCACGTCCCAGGCATCCCGTACAGCCTGCTGCCAGCTGGGGAGGGGCTGGGGGAGAGGCCCGGCAGACGGCGCCCGACCCTCGGCATGTGCCCCGCCGAGACCAGCCCCCGCCCTGCGGCCTGGTGGTCACCTGGGACTTGCGCCAACAGGAGATCCTGGAGGAGGTGGTCAGAGAGCTGCACAAGGTGAAGGAGGAGATCATCGATGGTGAGCAGCCACAGGCGCCCGGGGCGGGGGCAGAGCTGCTGTCCGGGTGGTGGTTCTCCAGGCCGGCGGGCCCGGGTCTTGAGCCAGGACCAGTGCTCGTGATCTCTAGTTGGGGAAACCGAGGCTCAGAGGAGTCGTGGCTTGCCTGTCTGCCTCCCAGCAGCCTCTCTGCGTCTGAGACCGCTCCACTTCCCACGCTCTGCCTGGTCCCAGCACACACCCAAAGCCAAGTCTGCTAGAAGCAGCCTGCGCTTTGTGTTGGTTCATTATCTGCTGACGGCTGTCATCTTCTGGGTGCAGCCACCTCCGGGCCCTGCTGCTGGGGTTCTCAGGGGGACCGCGGCCCTCCTGGGGAGCAAGGCCACAGAACCCCCTTCTGGGCCTGAGCTGGGCCACAGCCTTCTTGGCCCTGGGTTAGGGAGCAGGCCCGGAGCTCCCCACAAAGGAGCTTTAGCTCCAGAGAGCAGGGCCAGAGCCCAGGCACCACACCCGGCCTTCCTGTCCCCTCAGGGCCTTGGAGGCAGCCGCTCAGATCTGCAGCCAGAGGAAGGGGAGGGTCTGGGTAGGGCAGGCTCAGCAGGAGCAGAGTAGCAAAGAGCAGCCCAGGGCCGTCCCCACCAGCCTTCCCACCCACTGGTGAGGTCTTACAATCGGTGGCCGGGTCTGGCCGCCAGGGCTTCGGCAGGGCATGAGGGGCCCCTGAACCCAGCAGGGGAGAGGCCAGGCAGGAGAGGCCAGGCGGAAGCCTGCCCGGGAGCCGCAACCCCCCCATGGCCACACCTTTGTTTGAGCAGAGAGCACAGGGTTCCTGTTTGTCCAGCTGCCCTGAAGGCTGGGCTGGGGAGATAAGGAGTCAGTGAATGGGGGTGAACAGCTGGAGCTGCAGAGCCAGCTCTCAACTCCGCTTCACTGCTGGGTGCCTTTGCAGGCCCTAGGCGGGAGCTGGCCCTCAGTGCACCCCAGGGGAGCCGCCCGGGGCAGCGGAAGAGCCCCGGGAAGCTCAGCCATCTGAGAGACAGCTCCCACACTGGACGGCGGCCATGCCGCTGCCCTCAGCCCTCCTGGCCCCGTGAGGCCTGGGGGCCAGAGGCCGGAGCTGCCATGAGGCGAGCAGGAGGGGGACACCAGTGCTGGGTGAGGGAGGCGAGAGTAAGGAGGAGGGGGGAGGCCCGAACGGGGAAGGTGGGACGGAGCATCACTCCTTCAGCAGCCCCAGGAAGCAGGTGGGCACCGGGAGGAGTCGCCAGAGCCAGGGAAGGCACGGACTCCAGGGCCGGAGACTTCCTGCTGCCTGGCCTCCACTCGGCAGGGAGGGGTTCCCAGGCCCCAGCCGACCTGGCCATCCCCCTGCCCAGGGCCTGCCCAGACCCTGCTCTCAGCACAGAGCCCCCGTGTCCAGCCCGTGCCCACACTCCCAGCAGCCACCAGCCCCCCTCGAGTGCCCCCCGGCTCCTCCTCTATCAGGGAGGCTCAGGAGAGGCGGGACAAAACCCCAGCCCCTCTGCTGTCACCCAGAGGTCTGTGCCAAAGCCCGCTGCACCCTCTGGCCCCTAGCCTGTGCCCTGCAGCGCTGGGAATAGGGAGTTCCCAGGAGACCAGGGAGGCATGGGACACAGACAGCAGGTGGCCCACACCAGGGGCCCGGGACCAGGCCCTGGTGAGGAGCCGGCGGACTTGTCGTGTCAGCCCCTGAGTGTCCCCCCGCCTGTCCCTCAGCCATCAGGCAGGAGCTGAGTGGGATCAGCACCACGTAGGTGGCTGGCCACGCACTGAGACGTCAAGTCGTCCGACACAGGAGGATGGCCAGGGGCCTCGGCACACACGGAGGCGCAGCTGCGTCTGGACGTCTCGACCTGTGATGAAATACCAGAATGAGGAAGCAAAGTTCAGTTCCTGGATTTTTTAGATTCTACCTGACACAGAACACCAGGTCTACTTGTCTTTTTTTTTTTTTTGTATTTTTTATTTGCTTATTTAAGTGTACATTTCTTTTGATTTATAGAGAAACACCCCCAAATCGCCCGCTTCATTAGATGGTTTCCAGGTTTTCCCCTAGTGACGCTGTTAGGGCCTCAGCCGGCAGTGGCAGCTGGGCACGGGGCAGCGTCACCGCACATGTCAGGGCTGTCTGCGCAGCTCTGTCCCCGCGGTCACGGTGTTGAAACTGTCTGTCATGCACCGCGGTGTCCGTGCCCACACGGGAATAAACGGCTTACTGTCCACAGCACGGGCTCCGCTCTCACTCTCTCACGCCGGCTGCAGGTCGCTCCTGGCTGGGGAGCCCCTTTCAGGGAAGGGCGCAGGATCATGGGGACCAGGAGCGACGGAGCAAGGCGCGGTCTTGGGCAGCATCCCCGGAGACGCCGGAGGGCGAGCCGGGCAGCGCAGGCCCTGCCGGCTCGTGTCCGAGGACTGGCCTCGACTCCCGCCAGTGGGGCGCGCCCCAGGTAGACAGGCCCAGACTGCAGCCCCCGCCCGGAATGCCACAGGACTCCACGTGCATGTTGACTGGCAGGGTCAGCACAGAGGCAGGAGCGGGCAGGACCTGCAGGTGCGGGCAGTGGGAGGAGCTTTGCCCTCCACCCCGCCCCCAAAATCGGCGCCCCGGGGGAGGACGGACCAGCTGGTCTGCCACAGCCTGTCTGCCCCGGCCCAGTGGCAGCCAAGACGGCCCGCAGGCCTGCTAAGGCGGAGCCCCGGCACCCATTCCCGCCACGGCCAGGGAGGAGGGCCTGGCCCTGGGCCGGGAGGACCGAGGCCCCGCAGACAGGCGGTCTTGAGATCCTGTGGCCCTTCGTCCTCCTGGTGGTCCCACGCGACCACCACCGAGCAGCCAGCCCAGCCGTGGACTGGCCTCAGGAGGAGGGGGAGGCGCCGGCCTGCTGGGCCCATCGGCCTGCTGGCCAGGGAGCACGCCTGACATCCTAACCAGCTGGAGCAAGCCCACGGCCTGAGCCCGGAATGGGACTGTCCTGCCCATTCAGAGGCGCGGCACCCAGGCTCCGCTCCGAGGGCCGCCCCTCCTGCCGCCCGATGCCTCCCGGGGCAGGAGCCCAGGGTTCCCAGCGCCCTCAGGTCCGAGCCTCCGAGCAGGAGGGGCTCGCGCACGCAGCCTGAGCCAGGCCTGTGCGCGCAGGGAGGGGCAGCCTGCGGCTCGAAGCCCTGGTGAGGAGCAGCACTTCCCCCCAGAGCAGCCCCGGGCTCGGGCCTCTCCCTGCCCGCCGACAGTTGGGGACACAGGTGCCTGGCACCGGGGTGGCCACTGCCACGCATGGGTGGGGCATGGGGCGTGCCCTCCTCGCCCTCCCCGCCCTCCCTCTCCCACGTCAGCAGGACAACCCTGGCCACCCATGTCCGGGGGCGGTCCTCGGCCAAGCCCCGGCGGATCTCCCCTCCAGCCCTGGAGGCGGCCGTGCCAGGGCCGTGATGGGAGCCGCAGGGCTGGGCCACCCCTTCCCCTCTGCCAGGTCACCTTGCCAGGGCACCCCTCCTGCTGCCTGCTTAGCCTGGGACGCCAGCACCCAGCCCAGCCCCCAGGAGAAGGCAGCCTCCCTCGGCTCCCCAGGCCTCTGCTTGACTGCCCGGCGGTCCCACCAGGGGCACATGGGCTCCTCCAGCCCCCACCTCTGAGCAAGGGGGAGAGACAGCTCTCACTGTCGAGCCGGGACCCTCTCTGGGCTCAGGGAAGGCCCCTCGTGGGGGACAGGTGTCGGGAGGAGGTGGGGGGCAGGCCTGGGTGGGAGAGGTGGATGGTGGGGAGAGCCTGGGGAGCACGCCGCTGCGGAGCTTGGCCGGGGGCAGGGAGCCAGGGGTCCCGGGCCCCACAGACAGCAGGCACGCCTTCTGCCACCCACACTCCCTGAGGCCGCCATCCGCAGTGGCGGGCCCTCGGGGAGCACTGCCCCAGCTGTAGCCGCCACCCTCCCAAGGAGCCAGAGTGAATGGACGGCTTGGGACTGGCCTAGAGGAAGAAACACTCAGGCCCGGGGCCTGGCACCTCATCCTCTGGGCCCAGGCTTGAGCCAAGATCGCCCCTCAGAAGCACAATCCGTGGTGGAACACGCCGGATTTAATTCAGGGCACAGGGACATCAGAGGAGGCAGCTCCAGGGCCGCGGCATAGGGCGCCCAGGCCCTTCCGCCATCCACAGTGGGCCACATGCGGACCCAGCCCCTGCAGGCCCAGCTCGCGCCTGTCACCAGGCACGGCTGCCAGTGGCCACTCCCAGGGCGTGGAGGGGACAGAAGCCGCAGTCCAGAGCACAGGCATCAAGTGCAGCCAAATCCGCTCCGGGGCGCTGGGCGGTGGGATGGGGGGGGCCGTGGCAGCCGAGAGGAGCCCCAGACTGGGGCCAGGCCGGCCGGGCTCACAGTGGGTCCTCCGCCAGCTTGCACACACGCTTCACCCTGGAGAACGGCCCCAGGGAGTCGTCGAACACAAAGTCCCAAAGCACCTTCACCCACGAGTGGTGCTGCGGCAGGTGGTCATAGTACTCGGGCGCGATCTTCCGCACCTGTGGGGAGAGTTGCCGGTCAGGGGCCGCCCACGCACATGTGAGCACACGCAGACACAGATGGGCACGTGTGGGCGTGCACATGCGTGCTCACAGGTCCTTATGTAGGCACCTGCACGCACGCCCCACCGCCTCCCAGGATGCCGGCCTGTGTATGCCCCGTGGGGTGCATTTTCGACTCCCTGACTGGCACGGGGGCGGGGTACCCTGAGCCGAGGCCCCCTCCGGGCAGCACCAGCCTTTGGGGAGCAGGAAGAATGGGACTGGGGGAGGGCCAGGCGTGAGCTCCTGCTGGGCGCAGCTGAGGTGCAGCTGACGGTGCCTGGGACCCCGCCTTTTCCTCCTCTTCCCCCTTCCCCACTCCGGAATTCAACTCCAGGTCTCCCGAGGCAGAGGTGTCCACTCCCGGCAGCTCTGGCCAAGCCCCCGGAGCAGCAAAGGGTAAGGCCCGCCCCGTCCTCCCTGAACCAGGAGGGAACCCCAGAGGGCCTCGGGGCGGGGACAAGGAATCGGCAGGCCCGGGGAGCCTGAGACGGGAAGGAGGGTGCGCCCCACGCTGCAGCCCCGATGCTCCTGCATTTTGCCAAGAGGAAACTGAGGCACAGAAAGGGCACACAGCTTGCCCGAGGACACCCAGCCAGTGAATATCATGGTGAGGGTCAAGCAGGTCGTGACGGAACGAAGCGGCCCAGGCTGTAAGATGCCTCCCCGGATTTGCTCCGGTCTCCAGCTGGGGACCAGCCCGCGCCTCGTGTGGGGCCGTTCCTGCCACCCTGGGACAAAAGAGTGGCCATCCCACGACCAGCGCGAAAAGGAAAAGGGGCCGAGCGTGGCTCGAAGCCCTCCCTGGGGCCCCCACCCCCTGCGGCCGTGCCGCCCTGCCCACCCCGGCCCGGCCACGCACCAGGGGCAGGTTGCAGCCCGGGATGCTGGGGAAGTCGTGGTGCTCCACGTGGTAGCCCACGTTGAAGGTGATGCAGTTGAGGGGCCCGTAGTAGGAGTAGGTCTCGTGGCCCTGGAGAAACATGTAGTGCTCGGCCACGAAGTGGCCCGAGATGGGGTGCAGGCCCAGGCCCAGGAGGGAGCTGGCCAGCAGGTAGGCCACGGGCTTGAGCCCCCAGAGGGCGAAGACGGCGGCGTCGGCCGCCAGCTGCACCAGGGCGTTGAGCACCTCCATGCGGGTCAGCGCCTTGGGGTGCACGCAGAGCGGCCGCAGCGCGTAGAAGAAGGGCTGGAGCGCCAGCCAGAGCAGCTTGCGGGCCGGCGTGCAGAAGAGCCGGCCCTCCAGGCGCGTGGGCACGTCCACGTCCAGCCCGTCGCCGCCCAGGTAGCGGTGGTGGTCGATGTGGTACTTCTTGAAGGAGGCGGCGTAGGGCACGCCCATGGGCAGGTTGGCGAACACGGCGAACCAGCGGTTGCGGGCGGCGCAGCCCGTGCCGAAGGCCACGTTGTGCGAGATGTCGTGGATGGCCAGCGTCAGCGAGTGGTTCACGCAGCCGCCGAAGGCGTAGGCCCAGAAGATGAGCCAGCGCCAGGCCAGCCCGCGCACCAGCCAGCAGGCCAGCAGCTGCGCCAGCACCAGCGCCAGCACCGTCCACTTGAGGCGCGGGTCGGGCCGCATCAGGGCCTTGATGGCCGGGTACTTGGCTGCGGGGGAGACGGCAGGGTGAGGGTGAGGATGGGGGTGTTCTGCCTCCGCCCTTCCCTCCTCCCCCCCTTCCACCCATCCTTTAAGCCCCCAGGCAAGCCGGGCTCGGTGGCTCAGCCTGTAATCCCGCGCCTTTGGGAGGCTGAGGTGAGTGGATTGCCCGAGCCCGCGGGTTCGAGACCCGCCTGGGCAGTGAGACCTCATCTCTAGAATAAATCAAAAAATCAGCCGGGCGTGGTAGCGCGTGCCTGTAATTCCGGCTACTCGGAAGGCTGAGGCAGAAGGATCACCGGAGCCCAGCGGGTCGAGGCTGCGGTGGCCGGGAGCGGCCACTGCACTCCAGTCTGGGCGACGGAGTGAGACTCCAACTCAAAAACAAAAAGCCCCCAGGCAGTGACGTGGAGACAAACCCAGCCCAGTCCAGCACCCTCTGCCCCTCTCCTGTCCTGGAGGATGAGGGAGAAATGAGCCATCACTGAGGCCTGGGGCTGCCCCTGTGCCCTGGGACTCGGGAATAGCCCAGCCTGTGGAAACGCAGACCCGCATCCCCCCAAGGGGAGGCCGATGGGTGCCGCCACCACGGGGGGCTCGCCACCAGCCCAAATAGAGAGAGGCGTCACCACCGGTCACAGAGACGTCATGACGTGACGCCAGAAACCAAAGCAGCCACAGAGCCACAAACTGCCCGGCCTCAGAGCATGATGCCCAGGCCACGTACGGCCGAAGGCTCAGGCGCAGCCAGAGGGCCACGGCGGACCGGACACCCCAGGCTCCCCGTTCCCTGAGAGTGGGCAGGTGCAGGGAGGAGACGTGGAAGTCCCGGGCTTTGGCTCAGGTGTCCCAGGTCTTAAACAAGAGCGGAAGGGCACGTGGCAAGAGGCGGCTGGGGGGTCTAGGGCGGTGGGTGTGGCTGCTGTGCTTTGGGCCTTTTCTGGGTTTGTTTCGCAGAAAAGGGAAAAGCAGCACGCGTGGGAAACGGCCCCGCAGGAGGGCCGGCAGGGACAGGCGGGACAAGCTGCGGGACGGACACCCACGCCGCTGGGGGATGCAGGGCTGGGGTCGGGCAAGACGGCTAGCTGGACCTTCTAGAAACCTCTGGCTGGGCGGTAGGGGGGGCTGGCGAGTTGGAGGCAGAAGGTGGGTGTGGAGGCTGGTGCCGTGTGCAGGGGCAGGAAGGGACGGGGCAGGGGTCACCACACTCAGGGTGACAGGCACGCCCGGATCTGCTCTGTCCCCTGGCTCCCCAGGCAGGAGCAGACAGGCCCTCGGAGATGCGGCCGGTGCCGTTACCCACAGATGGGGAGGCCCAGGCCAGCAGGTGGGGCCGGTCAGCCCCCGTCTCCAGGGCCCCAGTGTCAGGCCCCCCGCCCGCGAGCAGGTGGGCAACCTTGGCTCCCCTGCCTCAGGGCTGGCCGTGAGAGGGTCCCCCAGGACTGCAGCAGAGGCAAAGGCCCCCCAGGCTGGAAGGGTGGGCAGAAGGGTCCTGTCCCATCAGAGAGGAGACCCGGGCCTAGGTCTCCTTCCGAGCTGCACACCGGCCTCAGGCTGGGGCAGACCTAGCACCCGCAGGGGCCCAAGCGTGCTGTGCGGCCGAAGTGCTTGACCTCATCGGTCCCCAGGGCCACGCGAACCAAAGCCACCGCGAGGCCACTTCACAGGCCAGGATGGGGCTCTGGCTTGAATGTCCCCTCCAAAACCCGTGGTCCCCAGTGTGCAGCCACCACCGAGGTGTCCCTGGCCAGTGTCCGGCCACGAGCATGGGGAACATGTTCGCCAACCGCTTCAAAGGCCTTTTTGGCAAAAAAGAAATGCACGACCTCAAGGTGGGCCCAGATGCCACGGGAAGCCCGCGATCCTTACAAGCTGAAGCGGGTGAGATCATGACACCACCCCCACCACAGGCTTCAACGTGGAGACTGGAGGGCGGGACAGCCTCACCAGGTGGCACGTGGGCGGCCAGGACACGATCTGGCCTGTGTGGTCTCGCTACTTCCAGAACACGCAAGGCCTGATCTTTGTGGTGGGCGGCCATGATCGAGCACGTGTAAACCAGGCCTGGGAAGGAGCTCAGGCCATGCTGGCTTGAGGCCGAGCTGTGGGTCGCCGTCCTCCTGGTGTTCCCCAACAAGCAGGACCTCCCCAACCCAGGGACTGGCTGGGGCCACGCCCCCCTGCTACAGGAACGGGCACATTCAGGTCACCCGCGCCACCAGCGGGGACAGGCTCTGGGAGGGACTGAACTGGCCGTCCACTTGGCTCCGGGACCAGAAGTGAGTCCTGCATGCCCGTCTCACCCCGCTGTCTCTCGTGGTGTGAGAAGCTGCCTCCGTGGCTGGTGCCGTGTGCATTGCCCTGTATGTGTGCAGACACGGCCTGGCCAGCTTTTTATTTAAGGTAAACAGTTTCTGTTCCACGAGGCGGCTTCTGGTATGCGATGTCACTCAGCTTATTTTTATTGTGGAAAGAAAAACCAAGCCGGGTGCAGTGAGCCTGTAATCCTAGCACTTTGGGAGGTGGAGGCGAGAAGATCGCCTGAGCCCAGGGGTTCGAGAGCAGCCTGGGCAACTTGGCGAGACACTGTCTCTACAATAAATCAAAAAAAGTAGCTGGGTGTGGTGGCACATGCCTGCGGTTCCAGCTACTTGGAAGGCTGAGGTGGAAGGATGTCCTGAGCCCAGCGGGTCGAGGCTGCGGTGGCCGGGAGCGTGCCACTGCCCTCCAGCCTGGGTGGCAGAGTGAGACTCCGACTCAAAAGAAAAGAACAGAAAAATCGACTTGCTGAGGGGGAGGCAGGCCATGGGCACCTGCCACCGGGCATCGTGGTGGCCCGGGTGGCCAGGCGCCCGGCTGGAGTGCTATGTTGAAATCCACTCCGGTGGGTGGTTTTTAACCCATACTCAGTGTGTTCTTTAAAATAGTTAAAAGCCAGGCTCGGTGGCTCAGCCTGTCATCCCGCGCTTTGGGAGGCTGAGGTGAGTGGATTGCCTGAGTCCGCTGGTTCGAGACCCGCCTGGGCAGGCGAGACCTCATCTCTATAATCAATCAAAAAATTAGCCGGGTGTGGTAGCGCGCGCCTGTAGTTCCGGCTACTGGAAGGCTGAGGCAGAAGGATCGCTGGAACCCAGCAGGTGGAGGCTATGGTGGCCGGGAGCGGCCACTGCACTCCGGTCTGGGCGACAGAGTGAGACTGCAACTCAAAAAAAATAAAAATAAAAAAACAAAATAAAATAGTTAAAAATTGAAGTTGAGAACACATGAACACAGGCAGGAGCCCCACTCCACAGGTTTGCCGTGATGACCTTGATGCTGGTCATCTTAGCTGTTCCCTGGGAAGCGAGAGGCAATGGCTCACACGACCGTGCTCAGTTGTGCGTGGTCACCATAGAGATCCCTGCAACTCGCTTGTCCTTGGGGTCACCCTGCATTCCAAGCCTGGCGCTTGCCCCCGTGTTCTCACAGTCCCTAGGTCCAGGCACCCACCGTCACTGCACTCCGCCCCTGGCCGCCGGCCTGCTCCGGGGACATGGACCCTGCCTGTCCCCTGGCCAGCGTGGGGCCACAGTAGGCCCCCGCCGTCCCCAGTGCTCACGCTGGCTCAGATACCTGGGCGGGATGTCCGCAGCCTCGCCAGCAGGAGCTTGTACGCTGGTGGGCAGCCCTCTGCACCCCAGCCCAGGCACCCGTCTCCCCCTAAGCCTGCCATCGAAAAGACGACCTCTACTTTTCCCTTTTGTATTTTGGTAAACACTGAAGAAGCTGGAGCTGTTGAATTGATCTTGGGGAAATCCTCGGGCCTGGTCAGTTTGGTGTCATGGGATCTCGTACTGTTTTCAGTACACGATCAACAAAAAGAGGGGTGGGCCTATAAGAGGTGATTGGGTCATGAGGGCTCTGCCCTCAAGAATGGGTTAATCGTGGGTATCACGCCTGTAATCCCAGCGCTTTGGGAGGTGGAGGTGAGAGCATTGCCTGAGTCCAGGAGTTCGAGACCAGCCTGGGCAACTTGGCGAGACCTTGTCTCTACAATAAATAAATCTTTAAAAATTAGCCAGGGCATGGATGGTGGCGTGGGTCTTTAGTCCCCCATACTTGGAAGGCTTAGGCAGAAGGATCACCTGAGCCCAGCAGGTCGAGGCTGGGAGGCCGTGGGTGTGCCGCTGCAATCTAGCAGAATAAGACTCCAACTCAAAAAAAAGAATGGATTCATCCATCCATGGATTCGTGGGTCAATGGATTAATGGGTTATCATGGAGTGGGTGGCTTGGTAAAGGGAAGAGACACCTCAGCTAGCCTGCTCAGCCCCTTTGCTGTGTGTTGTCCTGCGCCCTGGGGTGGCTCTGCAGTGAGTCCCCGCCAACAAGAAGGCCCTCAACATAGGGCTCCTCTGAATTTTTTTTTTTTGAGTCGGAGTCTCACTCTGTCGCCCAGACTGGAGTGCAGTGGCTGCTCCCGGGCACCGCAGCCTTGCCTGCTGGGCTCTGGTGATCCTTCCACCCCAGCCTTCCAAGGAGCCAGAATTACAGGCACACGCTACCACACCTGGCTGATTTTTGATTTATTGTAGAGATGAGGTCTCGCCAAGTTGCCCAGGCGGGTCTCGAACCCGCGGGCTCAGGCAATCCACTCGCCTCAGCCTCCCAAAGCGTGGGATTACCAAGCCTGGCTGAATTCATTTTTAAGGAAAATAACAATTGTTGATGAGGATGTGGAGAAATTGGAATCTTCCTACACTGCTGGTGGGAATATAAACTGGTGCGACCACTTTGGAAAACACTCTGGCAGTCCCTCAAAGTCAAATGTAGATTCCCCATAGGACCCAGCAATTCCGCTCCTAAACAGAGACCCCAAAGATCTGAAAACTGAGACTCAAACAGATACTTGTATACCCCATGTTCACAGCAGACAACAGGGGGCAGCAGCCCAAGGGTCCACGGATGGACGGATGGACAGACAACGCATGCTAGATAAATGGAATGTCATCATCCTGAGAGAAATCAACAGCCGACGCCACGGTCGAACCTCAAGGGCATTATGTTGAGAGAAATAACCGGTCACAAAACGTCCAGTGTTGAGTGGCTCCACGCCCAGGAAACGTCTAGAATGGAAAAACCCTCAGAGACAGAAAATAGACTTGAGGTCGCTAGAGGCCTGGGGGCTGGGATGGGAATGGGTTTCGAGGTCGGTGGAGGACCAGTTTGGGAACGGCGGCGGCGGCGGCACGACGTGTGAACGTCATGTATGTCATCAAACGGCACATTTCTAGGTGGCTAAACGAAGCTGGGCACGTGGCTCACGCCTGTAGTCCCAGCCTTTGGGAGGTGGAGGTGAGAGGATGGCCTGAGTCCAGGGGTTCAAGACCAGCCTGAGCAGCATGGAGATACCTCGTCTCTACAATAAATAGAAAAAAAAAAAAATCAGCTGGGTGGATGGCACATGCTTGTGGTTCCAGCAACTTGGAAGAGGTGAAAGGGTCGCTCGA